AAAAGTACTTTAAACTGTATAAATAATGTAAAATTAAATTGATTTAAACAGCCAATCATACGAAAGTCTTCCTATGACATAGGAACCATGAGATACAAAAGATATTTCATGGTATGTCATGAACATAACATAATTTGCACGGCGGAGCCGTGCAAATCCATCATATTAACAACAGCCCGTGAAATATCTATTACATATTTACAATTTAATATAATTAGTATTAAACATAATATTAAGAGTTTAAATAAAGTAAAATTTATAAATAGAAGATCGATTCAAAGCAAATTTTGATTACAATAAATAGTAATAAGTTTTAATAATAGGTTTTAATTATAAGAAGAGGTATCCGATTTGTGCCTGGTTTGCTATTTTTTGAACTATGTAATTTGGACCAAATTTTTAAAATGTATTTTTTATTTACTCCTATATAATCACATAATATAAGTTACATATTAAGTGTGATTATATAGGGTAAGCACTATATAATCACACTCTTTTATAATCACACATTTGTGTAAAACAAACAGCGTGATTATAGAGGAGGAAGACTGTATATAGATATCTAAGATCTAGATAGACCAACTTTTCTGAATTGCCAGTTAGAAATAAGGGAGAAATCGGTAAAGAATCTGAGAAAAGAAAAAAGTTTAAATGTAGATCTGAGTCATATAAACTCAAATACAAGAGCAAGAAGTATGTAACCAACTACTAATATAAAAAGGTTGAGATTTGAGATATAGACCAGATTATGGCATTATTCTAAAAGATAGCTTATGATACAAACTTAATAGTAATACCACAACAGATACTAGTTAGAAAGAAGTTACTAAACATGCAGGTAAATATATATATGAAACATGTACCACTCTGTTAAGTTTATTTCAAGGATAAAGTAATTCTAGATAAGATATAAAATCTATAGATATTACAAAATCTAGTATATATAGTAAGTTATATATTGGTTTGATAAGAAATGATAAGCTAATTGTGACTAGAGAGTTTAAATAAATAATCTCTCTAGTTGGGTTGCAGGTATAGTAGCTAGTGTAGAATATAGGGCAAACTATTTAAATAAGTAACCAAAAGTTGCAGATATAGCTGGTTATACTCTTACTTTTAAAAAGCCAGAGAGCTTAAATAGATAATCTTCTAGTTAGATTGCAAGTATAGCAGCTAGTGTAGAATCTGGGCAGACTACTTAAAATAGATAACTAAAAGTTATATGTGTGGCTAGTTATATCATTATTATAATTGTAAATATTGTTAATTATTTAATAAAAGCTTTTAGCTATAAAGATTATTTTAATACTAAAAAAAAAAAAATACAGAATAAGAGCTTAAACTAATTATTTATTTGCAGCTTAAATCTACTAAAGTAAACAAAACTTATCTAGATTTAAATAATTAAAATATAATTAGTAAAAATACTAAACTAAACTCATATTATAAACTTATCAAATTTGTAATTGGCAAACCCAGTTGGTAGACAAAAGTTTGAGTTAGAATATAGATAATTTAGTAAATTGTATAAGTGATTGTATATAAATGTATTTATAAAGATAGAAAGAAAGTTGTTAATTAAATAAAAGCAAAATTTGAGAATATTTGATGTGCTTTTTTTTAAGCAAAAAAAAATTAATGCAGCATGATTTTTATATTTGTTTATAAAGTTAATTAGAAATTTTAATAAAGATTTAAATAATTAGCTAAAAAAAAATAAAGTGTAATAAATTAAATAGTAATAAAGATTAAATAAGAGAAGAAAAAGGAAAGTAATTTTTAGCTATTATTGTAGTAAACCCTCTATAAATGCAACCATTTAAAACTTTAGCAATGAGATTTAAAGCATAATAAGAAAAGTACATTTATAGAGATTAATATGGACCGAATTTATACATACGTTTAGAGTGTGTGTGCACTTATAGTAAGTGCGTTACTTATTTTAATAAATAATTTAGATCTAATTATTGTAAATTTGAATTAGAGATGAGCATCATTAATAATATAAAAATTATATCAGATGTTAAAGTTTTATATGTTATATTATGGGACGATTAAGCGCTATGTATTGATAAAGCGCATGGTGCCCACCTCTACTAATATTTTATACTATTATCTAGCTAAATTCTTTTAATAAATTTAGGATCGTACTCGCATTACTGTTCTTTTAGCATGTAATGCCACTGGTACCGAGAAATTAAAGCCTATTGTAATAGGATCTTCAATCGAACCATGAGCGTTGTCTGGTATTAACCATGCTAATTTACCTGTAACATACTGTTCTAACTCAAAAGTATGGATGCGAAGCGACATATTCGCAGAGTGGTTAAAAGATCTTGATAATCAATTTTAACTTCAAAATCGAAAATTTTACTTTTACTTGACAATGCGACAAGCCATTTTAATCCAAACTTAAATTCATCCGATGAAGAGCCTGGTCATAGTGACTCTGAAGAATTGCATTCTACTAGGTCAAATAGTCATAGTCGTGGCCGTGGTCACAGTCGTAGTCATAGTCGCCGCAATGCTACTCCAAATAACTAATGAAGTCGTACTATTCGACAAAGCAAGGGCAAGCACGGTAGAAGCAAGGGCAAGCGCGGGAGAAGCCAGGCAAGTGTTTATACACTTCCTGACATATTTAATTATCAACTTACAAACATTCAAATTAAATTCTTGCCTGCTCTTACCACTTCTCATCTTCAACCCATGGACGCGGGAATTATTAAGTGCTTCAAGGCAAAATATCAAAAAAAATATATTCACCATATTCTAGATCAATTTGAGAGAAAAGTAGATATTCGAGACCCTAAGTAAGTATGTTATATATTTAAAAGAAAGGGTGTGCACTTATAGAGGTTTTACTGTATAGTAAAACTTTTATAAGTGCACATTTTTAAAATCAAGCTTTAACAATACACACTAAAGAATAATAAGAAATATGGATTTTATAAAGCTTATACTTATATATTACATAAGCCCACATTTGTGTTGTATTTAGAGAGGATATGCACTTGTAGTAAGTGCACTTCTAGAGATTTTACTGTAATGTACAATAATAAATTATTATTATTATTTTTTTTTTTGTTAGAAATAAATTAAATATTAGAGAAGCCATTGATTACGTAGCAACTTCATGGGATGAAGTGGATGAATTAACAATGGTAAATTGTTGGAAAAAGATGGGTATTTTGCCACTAGTGCCACATGTTGATGTTGAACTTGTGCAGCATACATATTTAGAAATAATTGAATATGAGGAAAATGAAATAATTGATCTAACTGAAAGTGCAGATCCAACAGTTTCACACGGAATAGATTCCTACCGAGAAATTAATAATGCTCATATTCCTACGGAAGAAATACTTGACGATACCCAAATTGTCGAAACTGTATTAGCGGAACAATTAGAACATGAACAAGGCAATCCAGAAGATTCTGACGAGGAACCGCCAAAAATCTCTGCTTCTGAAGGGTTAAATGGGTTGAAAACTTTTATTTCATTTGCAGAACAAATGAATAATGATTTTTTCTTAAATAACAATGACATAAAAGTATTTCAAAAATACTTACAATTAATGAAGCGAAAAACTACCAAATCTATGAAACAAAAATCTATTGTAGATTTTCTTAATCAGGAAAATCAAGCTATTAATGATAAATATCTTGATGATAATTTCTCTGGCAGTGGTAATAATGATTTCTCTGATCATGGTAATGATGATGAGTTTTATGATATTTATTCTAGTGACAGCCTTCCTGATTATAACGGTCTTCCTGATTATGATTTTCCTGATTATGATAACTACAACGGTTCTTCCGATAATTATGAGAACTAAATTGCGTAGATAATTTTATAAAACGTACAATTAACATTTGAGGTCAAGTAATTTTTATAAATTTATATAGTAGGAATATGTAAGAAATAAATGCATTTTTAAAATAAATATGTGTATTAAATAACTTTGCGCACAGTAACAATAATATTTGCAATTCATGATAACACAACAAAATAATCTTGAGGATTATATTGTGACCATATAATAAAGAAATTGTCACTTAAGAATTCCTTTATTATGACTTTAGTTAGTTGTGAATATAAGACATATACGAAAGTAGTGTTAGACTTCTCTTAAGCTTATGTATCTTTTAATGGCAAGTTATTTTGTAATAAAAAAGCTTTTTTTTAGCTGACATTGATTTAATTAGCTGCCCGATACGAAAGTATCGGAGCAGCCTTTTGTCTCGAATAGGTCAAGGGTTGATCGTCTGATGCACTTTCTATTAGTGACTAACTTCTCTTATAGTTTTATAACTACAATAAACTAATGCAGTTTCTTTTCTCCACAGCAAAATCTGGAATATGCAATATATGTTAAGTATTGGTTCCCTCACTTCACTGATGTTCCTTTTATAGACACAACACACAAACAATCAATTCACAGACATGTTTATTTTACAGATAATCAATTCACAAACAAGTTCATATCATAGGCAGTTTATTTTACCAACAAGCTTATTATATAGACAGTTTTTTTACCGACAACTCATTTCACCGACGAAGTAATTCTAGTCATGATCATTAGGGTTAGTTTAGAACTAGAGTTAATGTAATTTATAAGAAATAAACTCTTCTGTGAAATGAGCTTCGGCGAAAAAACTGTCTACAAAGTGAGCTTGTCAGTAAAATAAATTGTCTATGAAAAAACTTGTTTGTGAATTGATTGCCTGCAAAATAAACATGTAGATGAATTAATTGTCGAAGTGATACATATCCGTTAAGTGTTAACATATAGAAAACTTTTTGCAAAAACATCCGGTTCATTATAAATAAAGTTGTGGTAATTCTGAAGAAAAATTGAATTAGAATGGATTGAAATATGTGATATACATATAATGATATATATTTCACAGCATGTTAAATAAATATTTTCATGAAGCTTTTTTTTAAAAGAAAATTAATATTATGCCGAAATTACAGTAGTTTTGACTGACCTTAATAAAATATTGAAAATTTACTTTAAAATAAATAAAGGAGGGGTCCGTATTATTTCACTGACAATCACTTCATAGACACCACATTTCACCGACGATTATTCATCGACAAGTTCATTTTACCAACAGTCTATTTCACTATAGCTTGGTGAAATGAACTTGTCAGTAAGTAATTGTCAGCGAAATATGGTGTTTACGAAGTGATTGTTGGTGTGTTGATCGGATCCCATAAAGGAGATATATTCGAATTTAAATTTCTTCTGAATTATAACTTTCTCTATATCGAATCAGATATTGTCAAAAAGTTTTTCTGAAGATTAATATTTACAATATTAAATTTAACTTTATAGCTTATTATAAGGATATTCGCTCACAGTTACTCACTATATGTCTACACATTTTTCTGTTCTAAATGTGATTATATAGAAGGAAAATATATGTGTATATATTTTTGATTTATGATATATAATGTGATAGTGATTATAAGCTAATTGTGATTATATAGAGGTATTTTTATATAAAAACAAACGGAGTTAAAAATTTGTGTGACAATATAGGAGTTGTGATTATAAAGGAGGTGATTATAGAGGAGGAAGACTGTAGTTTTTCTTTTCTTGTTATATGCTTTCAGAGCATATATTTTTTCTTCCAGTTTGGTGACCTGGTGGTTCAGCTAGTGTATTCTCTACTTAAAGATCTGATTACCCAGTTCTCTAATCTTAGTTCCAAATTTAGTTCTTTTGTAATACTATTAAAGATCATGCTACCTCCTAACTTAGAACTTGCTAAACAGTTTTTAGTTATTCTAGTATTTCAGATTTATTGTACCAAGGCTTCTATTCTAAATAGTGTAACTGAGATTACAGATTTCTAGATCCTACTAATTGTCAAATAGCTGTTAACTATATCACAGAGCTATTTTTTAAAAATATTATCTGTGAGATTCAAAGTCTAGACCTGCTATCTAGAGGTGTGACAACTCCACTACTTCACTAAATTGCCACACCCTTGCTCTTATTCTGTATGTAGGTTATATTTATTTATTTGTATATATATTAAGTTTCATTACTTAATAAAAATATAAGCAAGGCCTTATCTTTAAATTTTTTTTAAAAAAGAATAAGCTAGTACTATTTTTTATAGTTATACTGTTGTGCAATATCTCTATATTCTTTATTTTGACTAGTAATAAAGCTATTTTGTTTGGTGATTACAAATAAATAAAAGGTAAAGCAAGTTATTGTTAGATTAGATAAGGAAGAACATTTTATAAAAAATAAAAGATATAATTATAATAAAATAAAAGTGATATTAATATAATGAAATATACTGTAAGTATACAAAATTATTATATTTAAAATTTGGTAATAGTTTAATTAATTAAGCTTTAGTATTAAGATAAATAATTGAATAATTATTGATACAAATATGAGATTAGGATAAATATAATAAAGTATTTATTTATTATCAAAAATTTTAAAGATATAAATAATTCTAGTAGAATTTATTAAGCTAATTATTGCTATTATTAGAAATTAGAATTGAAGTTAATAAGTATAAAGCATCTACAATTAGCTACGATAAATAATTATACAGCAATTTTATTAATTCATAAAATTTTTTTATTAAGCAATATTACTTTTAAATTTATAAACATTACGCTTTAAGCAAATATGAAATCTACAGTGTAAACGTTGAGATTTCTGTGTTGACAATTTGTAAGATTAAAATGTATATAAGTGTGTGCCTTCATCTGTAGTGAAAAATAACATCCGCTCTCCAAATTCCGCTTTAAATTCACATTCTTTTTATAATAGGCCAAAATCATAAATATCCAAACTCCATAATTTATTGTCAAATTCATATGACATTCTAACGTCAACCATCGGAGTTAAACTCGGCATGACAGTACCAAGCTCCGATAGTTACACTAGACTGAAATTTAACCAGTTTATTAATCTTGGTTATATAAGTGGCTCTATTAAGCATATTAAAAAATATAATACGTATAATTGTATATTGTTCCATCCCTGTAATTTTGACCGATTGAATTTCAAGATCTGGTCATCAGGAAGTTTTGGAAGTGTTAACTTACAGGGTGTGATGCGTTGCTTAACAAACCCTATATAGTTTAACACTTTTTATTAATAAAATTAATGTTAATTAACAGAGATGTGATAAATAGCTGATAAAAGTTATTTATCACATCTCTATTGTTTATCACCGATTTTATTAATACAAAGTGTTAAACTATGCAGGGTTTGTTAAGCAATCATCACACCCTGTTAGTTAACACCTCTCGAAACTTCCTGATGGTGAAACATTAAAACCAATTAACAAAATAAAAATGGCTCTAAATTTTAATGGAGAAACTATTGGCGGTCTAGTTAAAATGTTTCTTATGAAAGATTGGGTCTCATAGCTTATTTGTTAAGTTCCCATCTCACACAGACGAGGTCGACAGTTTGAATTTAGCTGAAGGCATTCGCCTCTGTAACTACCGAGTTTATAATCTAACGTGAAGCCCTGTGGAAGCCCAAGCCCATGTGAATACAAACCTGGGATGGGAATTTCCAGGAGATCTGAGCCAGTGTTGGAAATCTGTTTTGAGATTTATGTTCTCATGATAACAAATTTATTTAATTTCTTATTTCGGAAAATATTGTTCATTTATTCAAATTTTTGTCCCAATCCCTTTCGTCTTTTATGTTATTCATTTTTTAGATGATTTCGAAACTTCATTCGATTCCTAATTTTATTTCCATATGGAATTATGCTATTATATTTATATAATACTTATATAGAGAAAATATTTTTTGAGTATTATATTCTCAAATTTTTTTACAGAAAACATTTACAGAATATTAAATGTTCTCAAATCTAAAGGTATGTACTCATGAGAACATTAGAACATAAGATTTCAAACACTGATCTGAGCTATTGAGAGGTGGGCACTACAAAAGTGCTGAGAGTAGCGGTAAACATAGCAAGGATACGTGGTAAAGGATTAGCCTTACCAGATGCGGAACACCTCTGGCACATGTGAAAACTAGAATAAGAAGTTCCTTTGTGCAAAATACCTGTCAAAAAGACATAGAAACGTGTAAAAACTTGAAACCGCTGATAAAACCAGATTGGTAGTAGTAATACAACAGATGCTAAGTCATTTGAGATCTTTCTATCTTGAAACCCATAATATAGAAACTAGAAGTATTACAAACGTAATACGAAATTAAAATTGGTAGTAACTTTTTTACACGATTGTAAGTACAGTACTCTTCCCTTTCCGAAAATGGTACCAATTTAAAAATTGCGTACAGTACAGGTTTATATAGCAAATGAAGGTCCGAAGTTGGTGGCCACGCTGGCTATATGTGGAAAAGGAGGTCTAGAGTCAACTACCAAGCTAGGAAACATACCGCGAGATACGTATGCGAGGCGTTTATTAAGTACCTAATTTAGAAGTAGCTTTGTGTTAGTACGTACCGGTACGTGAGAAATGTAAAGGAATGCACAATTGAATGATAATTCTAGTTGAGTTAAGCCTGCCTCGTGGGTAAAGTAACTGCATGTGTTACGAAATTATGTAATTATACTTTGTATACATATAATCGATTAATACCGTAAGACTGTACGGCAAAGACCGCTTATAAAAAAAAAAAAAAAGTAGTTTCTTATGAGCTTTACTAATAGATGCTATACATTGTTATAATCTTAACTCTGACTATAATTTTGCACGCAACTTTTCTACTGTTACATTACCTTAAATTTTTAAATTTTGACTAGTCGAAAATGTGACTCTATCCCTGTAAGAAATTTTATTTGAATATTTCTATTATTTTTC